CCAGGTACATATGTGTCCAAACAGTGTTGTATTCAATGCAGGGCAAGGGACACACAGTGCACAAATTTGGGATGGGTACAATATATTTGTTTAAATGTTTTTTAAAAGAAGTTTTGTTTATAATAAGGTGTTTTTGACATGAATTTCAGGCTCAAACCATGACTGTGTGGCGGCAGGCAGAAAAACATAAAACCCCATGTGTGTGTTTCCTAAACAAGATGGACAAGCCTGCAGCTAGGTTATACACAAACATTTTTTGCTCATTTCTCAGAATCTCACTTAAATTTAGAGAATTCATTAACACATTGTCTGAAAATTTGCATGTGTTATTGATCTGAATGAATGACTGCCGTTCACTAAGGTTTCATCTCACTCTCATTTCTCCTAGCCTGAGTTACTCTATAGACAGCATAAAGACTAAACTAAAGGCCAACGCTGTTCTCCTTCAGGTGACCTTTTTAAACATAGTAACCAACTACAGTTACCAATGAAAAGATTCATTCTGAATATTTAGTATGATTTCCAGAACCCCTATTGGCTCAGGGAAGAGCTTTACCGGATTGGTGGACTTGATCACTAGGCGGAAAATGACATGGCAGGGGAGCTCAATTACATATGATGGTTGTACTTTTGAGACCAGCACCCTTCAGCCCACAGATGACCCAGATGTGCTCCAGGCTGTCAGTGAGGCCAGGCCACTTTGATAGAACAGGTGAACAAAAAAAATATCTGAAAACAATAGAATAAATACTGATACATTTATTGTTATTTGCCACATCTCGAGTACAGTAGGTTCTTAAAGGGATACGTCAAAAATTATGATTCTGTCATCATTTGCTCTCTTTTATGTATGATTTACTTTCTCTGTGGAACACAAAAGATATTCCGAAAAATGTGTCCAAACAACAATGGACCCACTGGCTTTAATTGTATGGAGAAAAAAAAAAGCTAAGGCATCTTCTATTGTGTTACAGGTTTAGAATGACTTGTGGTTCGTGATGGCAGAATTAAAATTTCTGGCTGAACTTTTTTGTATGAATTGGACAGGTAGCAGATCTAAATGATGATTTTGCGAAGCTGCTTCTGGGACAGTACAGTGAAAACTTTGATGCAGTGCCTGCAGGGGAGGTAAGAATATGCAGCTTCTCTATACTGTGCTCCAGGTTTCTTTCTCTATTGGTTCAGATACATTTGGCTATTGAATAAACAGAATTGAATCTGAATATCCAGTTGCAGGAGGCAGTGAGACGAGTGACATTAGCTCGTAAGGGAGTTCCTGTGTTGTCTGGAAGCTCTCTGAAAAATAAAGGGGTTCAACCTCTGCTGGATGCCATTACTGCTTACCTTCCTGCCCCCAGTGAGAGGAACCATCCGTCAGCCCCCTCATCAACTCATTTTGCTACAGGAGAATAAATCATGCTATGATTAAATGTATATTTGTTCCTATCTGTCCAGGCGCTGGTATAAGGATGATCTGTGTAAAAGTGGTCCATGACAAACAGAGGGGTCCACTCGTGTTTGTTAGGATCTATTCAGGAAGCATGAAGGCTCAGTCGGCAGTGTACAACATAAACAGGAACGGAACGTAGGTTCTCATTGGGGAAAATCTGGCATGCGCAAAGCTGACCTCATACGTCATCTGCCCGGAACTGCTTCCGTTTACAACAGTGAGCACAAGCTAGATTCAATTTTTGAATTTAATCAGTTTTGAATATGGATATTTTTCTTACAAAAACGCATCAATTCACTACTGGAGGCCTTTGTTCACACCCCGGAGCCGTGTGAGACACTTTTTTTTTTTTTATGGATGGGTGCTTTTTATTTAACTTCTTTTGGACTGAAGCAATGCAACACCCGCTGACTGCAATGATAGAGCTTGAAAGATCAAAGACAATTTTTAATATAACTCCGACTGGATTCGTCTGAAAGAAGAAAGTCATATACACCTAGGATGCCTCGGGGGTGAGTACATTTTTTTAAATTAATTTTCATTTTTGGGTGAACTAACCCTTTAAGCTTAGTGCTTTGAAAAAGTGCCTTAAAGTATTACATTGTGACACATAACCCATCCTGCACCATTTGTGCTACGGACATCAAATACCTTGAATCTTGTGTTGAGGAGAAGGAAGCACCCAAGTCATAATATATATAATAACCAGAATATCATAGATTTGGGAGCGTTTTTTTGGGAGTAAGCGATTGCCCAAAACACCCTAGTAACCTAGCAATGCCCTAGCAGCAACTAGATTAAGCAATAACGGAAAAAAAATGTTAATTGTAATCTCTCTTTCTCATTTTCCTGCTCTGCAATGTATTTTTTCACTTGTTTATGCACAGACGATACCACAACATTGAAACTCACCTAGGACCCTTGCAGGTGGCCTACAGAGAGACCATCCTCCAATCAGCAACTGCCACAGGTGAGGCAAGTGCAAACTCTACCCTCATGTTTTATATGGTAGTCTACCTCTGTTAAAATCATATTACGAAGAAACAGTAGAACTTTTTCTTAATGACAGTTCATCTGTTTTGTTTGTCTGCTTTACTGTTTTATGGTCCAGTGCGACTTATGGTTACAATATATTTTGTCCATGGTAAAAAAAAAAATAGGCATAAAATAAAAAATAAAACGACTTATATGATCAGTCACGTGCCCTGTTTTAGTGTAGGTTCAAAAGTCTGGGGTTGGTAGGATTTTTTTTAATGTTTTCATTTTTGTATAAAATGAATAGATGAAGAAATGGTAAGAAACCAACATTCCTATAGTTCTACACAGAATACATTGTAATGCTAAAATGGATTATAATATCAAATAATGCAGTATTTATTTTGAGTAGTCAAGTATTAGGAAATTCCAGTATGATTTGTATGATCATTTCAGACACGTTAGATCGTACTCTGGGAGACAAGAGGCATGTTGTTACTGTGGAGCTTGCTGTCCATGCTCTGATGAAGGAGTCTAGCACTTCCTGTGACGTGACTTTTGAGGAGGAAGGAAATACTCGGCTCCCTGCTGTTGTCAAAGAAGCTGTGGAAAATGGGGTTCAGAGCGCCTACCTCCAAGGTAATGGATGCTTTAAAGCTTTTATGCCTAAATCATTCATCACATCCATATCATCCTGCTACAGTATTGCAGTACATTCGAGTCTATAAATCTGATGTCCTTGTCAGCCATATGCTGTTGGTAATCTAACTTCCTTTCCAGGTCCTGTGCTGGGTTTTCCTGTACAGGGAGTAAAGACAGTTATCCAGCATGTGAGTTTGGAGCCAGGCACTTCTGCAGCCATGGTTTCAACCTGTGTCCCGCTGCATGCTCAAGGTACTCAAAAACTATCCTGTGTCTTTCCCACAGTCACTTTCTAATATGTTGCCACATCTGAGTCCATGTCTTTCTGTGTCAGGCTCTGAAGCTGGCTGGGGGGCAGGTTTTGGAGCCGGTGATGGCTCTGGAAGTGACTGTAGGGGAAGAGTATCTGAGTCCTGTGCTTGCAGATCTCGCCCAGCAACGCGTTACTGTATGCGACATCCAAAGTCGACAGGAAAACAAGGCTACTCAACCGTTCTGCGCACTTTGACTTCTGGGAATGCCACCTTTTCTCTGGAGCTATCCAGCTATGAGCCCATGAACACTCAGGACCAGAATATACTGCTCAACAAGATGGCTGGACTGGCTTGAAGCAGTAACTGTCACCAACTGAACGGAGCATTTATACAGACACAAATTTTGATTGCTCTGTGATTGGCTGCTTACATAAGGTCCAGAAGATAAATCTTGGGAGACTAGCCTACATATGGACATACCCTGCTCAGCCCACATCCCTAATTGAATTTTTTTCTCAGTGTAAGGTAAAACATGCTTACTGTTGTTTGTGTGTATATGTACATAAAATATACCAATAATTTTATAAGAACAATGCATTCATAAATGTTTTATTTAAATATTTATTTCATTTATAAAACCCTTACAACATACCTAGCCTTGGGAAATAATTAAAAGGCAGACCTTCCATACAATTTATTCACAAGAACATTAATTACAATTTAATCAAATTTAAGCCTACAGAGAAAATCCAGATGTACAGAACTGTCCATTTAATAATAAAAACCAGTAATCAAAAATATCAAGTTCTGGCAGTATCTGGCTCAGTGCATACAACAGCAAATCAGTTACTGGAATCAATAACATGATTTTATCTTTTAAAAAGTGTTGTCCTTTTATTCCCTTTAATTGTCTACTGTCAGCTGAATGTTGAAGTTCATAGACCCTTGTACTCCTGACGGCAGTGGCCAACAAATAGAGGTTCTGCAGGTATGCCTCTCCTGATGACCAAAAAGGGAAAAATATCACTTTCACCAATGAAACATACGAAAAATATGCCTGTGCAAATTTTATTTGCAAAAGCAAATTCAATTATTTGTACAAAGACTGTATTGAATACTTTTTACATTTTCAAAATCCCCCCAACCAATCCAGAACAGACTGCCTTCAAATAAATAATTAAAAATAAATATTGTAATAAATCTATAATTAACCAAAAGTCAAGGACATTAGAGTTTAGTGAGGTCACTCCACTGCTGAGCATCATGATTCTTACATACATTAAATAAATAATTGAAACCGTATGTTGTATTATTGATTAATCAAATAAGGTGAGATTGCCTTAATCCACTGGTTCTCAGTTCGAGTTCTGGGGACCCCCTGCTCTGCAGTTTGCATGTCTCCCTTATTTAACAAACCTGATTCAGATCACCAGCTCGTTAGAAGAGACTCCATGAACTGAACTGAATAAGAGAGACATGCAAAATGTGCAGAGCAGGGGGTCCCCAAGACTCGAACTGAGAACCACTGCATTAATGAATTTGCCATTGTCATGGTTTAACTCACTTGACCATGCGGCAGCGATGCTGGACCAGACGATTATAGGCATTATCCACATCTGTCACGCTTTTATCACTCCATAACCTCTCAGCGACAGCACTGGCTCTTGGCCTGCAATGGCACAAAAAAACAAAAACGGTTAATTTACATAATTCTAAGTAAATACTAGGTTTGGTTTCAGTTTTGGCACAAACTCCTAACTTTAGCTTTTACTTTTATTACATGATAGGAGATGCAGTTAATTAACCACTTGTTAGTAACATGATTACACAATGTGTATAATGGTTTGTCTTGGTGTTGTTGGTACAGTTGAGTGATATATCATACCAGAGTCGAGGAGTGAGGTTGGTAGCATCCACATACTCTCCCCAAAGACAAGCCTCTCCACCTATCACCAGCTTCTTCTGTGCATCTGTGCCTGTAGTTATAAACAACAGCAAAAACAATAACATTTAATACAACATTGTACAAAAAGCAGTCCCTCAAAGCAAAGAGTTGATCCTGTTCGAGTCTGATCTGTGTGTCAAACACTCCTATATCGGAATACCTGCAGACAAAGCAAACCATTTATACTGCATGGTTCGTGACTGAATAGACGCATAACTGTCAGTGTGTGCAAAGTTCCATGGTCACATGATAAGCATGTTTGTTTGCATATCCAAATGCAAACAGGTCCCTGACAACGTCATTGCTATGGCAGAGCTTTGGACCGAAAAAATTATGATGCTCGTTGATTTAAGGATATGAGAATATCTGATGTAAAATGACTCCATACAATCACATGCCACCTTTACCACTTAAATATGTTGCCTTTGAATCAGTGTAGCTGACCTTCAAAACCTAAAACCACTCGTACCAACCTTGGTTACAATAAACAAGAAAATTCACCAGATTCATCCATTAACAGACAGACAGACTTCTCAACTCTTAGAGGTCAACTACAACATATCTCACAACATCATGTATTGCATAATCAACAGTCATTGTTTTTTACTCTAAACCTTGAGATGTTGTGCAAATTTAGGAGAAACACAAGTCAAACAGAAACAGAGGCCCATATCCACTTTTTCTGCGAATGACACACACCAATGAAATTTTGGGGGTCGGCTTTGTAAATGTTCACCCAGTCTTGGCCGTAGCTGATGCGGTTGAGGTGCCAGGGTGTGGAGAGCAGAGCATTGAAACCAGCCACCGTGACCTGCGCCATCTCATCCTGGTACTGCGGCCTGCCTTTCCACACATGGATCTGTGTGTCGGCTTTCAGCTACATGTGTACAAATACAGACACATGTATAACACACAAACGAACAGACGTCAACATGTGGATGTCCCTCTGGACTCCATTTAAGGTCTTTGTGAGGCTTTTCATGCTTCATTCAGATGTACTTTGTCAAAGATACCAAGCTGAGATTGCACATTTATGCAGATCTAGTCGCTAGTAGTTCTGAAAGAACTGAACATAGTTGATTGTAAAGTGACAAAAGACATGGATGTACAATATTTTTCAAAATCAGCTGTAACAAAAAATAATTTTGGCTATCAATATTGGCACATCCCAATAAAATGCAATCAATATTTAATCTTAAAAGTTAAAAATTGTCAAACACTACATCAAAAACTGTAATATGTTAGATCTTGAATGTAGTCCAGAGAAATATATCCATTTTGTGTCGTTTTTCTGAAAGGTCAGATGCTTAGCTGTGACTCAACATGTCTTGCTTTCTCATTAGATCATTAGTAAATGGCCTCTAAACCTGACAACAGTTAACCATTATTCTATACAGTAACATCTAAGAAGAACGAGGTAGAAGTTTTTAGCAGTGACTGATATTCGTGTATTGATTTTACAAAGCTGGAGCAAGGTGGAGGAGGAATTATGGCAAAGCATACACTACCATTCAAAAGTTTGGGGCCACTAAGATTTTTATTTTTTTTTTTAAGAAATTGACTCTTTTATTCAGCAAATTCACATTAAATTGATCAAAAGTGACAGTAAAAAATTAAGTAAATGCTGTTCCCTAAAACTTTTTATTTATAGACTTCTGAATGATCTTGACATTTAACAATATTACTACTTTTACTGTATTTCAGATCAAATAAACACAGCCTTTGTGAGACTTCTTTCAAAAACATTTTTAAAACAACCTTACCGACCCCAAACTTTTGAAGGGTAGTGTATTTAGAGTGACACTTGCTGGAACACGTGCTTTCCGAAATATTTGGGAATATGACCTCGAGATGTGGCAGTAGCTCAGAGTTGATCAGGAGTGGTCAAACACATTGACATTATGTAGACATGACAACGTACTAGTGACAAGCAACACCAAGAGCCAGAACCAGACTGACAGGATCACATCTGAACACTACAATAATAATGCAGAAATTCTATATAATTAATATATGGTTGATGACAAGCGCATATATCCTCCTTTACAATGGAGGGGTTTCTCAATGAACCATCTCTACTCAAACCACAGCCTCAACCCCCAAGCTTGTTTGTGATTCAACACCATGTCCACTTCCATGGCTATTTTCAGGGCAAAAACCAGGTTGAAATGTAACAAAAGGTATAGTGATTGAAAAGGGTAGTAATAACCATATTTGATTGAAACTCAAAAACTGACTTTAACCCCAAGTTGCCAACCAGACATATCAAAACCAATCACATAATTCAATGGTCAATACATGTGTAAACACTGAATAACTAGAGTTTCTAAATGACTGCGTTTTAAACCACTAGATTAGTAAACTAGTGCTGCTAAAATAAACAAAATTAGAATTTGACTGGAGAAACTGACCAGGGAAATTGAGTGGCTCAACTTTGTAGTAGTGTTGCCAGTCCTGTCCATAGCTAATGTAGTCCAGGTACCAAGGGGCAGAAAGAATGGTTGTAAATCCTGCCCCAGTCACATTCTGAAGCTCCTCCTCCATCTTGTTCTCCATCCACACCTCCACCACAGTGTCATCCTTCAGCTGGAACATGCATAAAGCACATTACTGTATGTGCCCTAATCAATGTGTTTTTTTGTTTTGGCTGTTATATTGTTATGGCAATTTAGTGGTGTGTTAGCAGTGGCTTGTGAAAAGGCGAGCATGCAAGTCAAGCTATTTGTGATTAAGAAGGTTAAAGAAAAGTAGATGAGTCTTTGATTTGAAGTCACAAAGCATTTTGGCCCTGCAAAATTGTGACTAAATTCGTGTATAAAAGGTGGTAACTTAGAAATTAACATTATGACTGTAATATAACATTTATGGATTTACATTACTTCCCATCAGCACAGATAAGAAGAGCTCAGCCTTACCTTCACTCCATTATCAAACACTTCCTGCCACACCATGTAGCCTTTCTTGGTAGCAGCCACAATATCAAGTAACCTGTTTTCCAAAGATGAATAATACAAAATGACAGATTGTGTTCCGATTAATATTTTCATTTACAGTTACATTCTTCTGGGAAAAAACAAATAAGCAAACTATCATAATCATCTGTAACGTATACTATAAGACCACAATAAATGTATTTCCTGACTATATTGAAGCTCTTACCTTTGAATATAGAAAGACTCCAGTTTGCTGTAGTCTGTGCCAAAGCCCTGCTGCACCATAAACTTCTGAATATCAGGATTGGACTCCCTACAGGAACGATAAGTGGAATGAAAGCATGGCCTTAACTAAAGCAAATAGAGAAAGAGAAACAATACATGCCCTTGCACAGTAGGCTGTCATTTTCAGTTAGAATCAATTTTTTTTTTTCATTCTGTTTAGACACTCAATTGTCCTGAGTGACGGTTACAGTTATTATTTACTTTTTTTTTTAATACATTTTTTAGCTCCTTTTTTCTTACCAGCAACTAGGCCTGGGCGATAAAACGGTATCGATATTTATCGACGGTACACCTTCTTCGATAACGATAGAAAAAATGTTCGATATAGCGCCCGGTATAGGCACGTGCTATGAGTGATGCAGACAGCACACACAAACACATGCTGAAATGAGTGCTGTGCCTGCCTGTGATGAGGAGATTGTGAATAAAGAATGAATATTAGTCAAATTTAAAATAAACATTTGCAATGTTAGGTGTGAGTCAGGGAGCGTCATCAGTGGAATGCCTCGGGGGTGAGTAAAACGCAGCCTAATTTTCATTTTTGGGTGAACTAACCCTTTAAGACCTATTTAATCTGCATATAAAACATTAGAAATTAGATATGTTTAATTTTTATTTTGTTTGATTGATAAAACAAAAAATATTTGTTGTTTGTCTGAATAAATTGGGTTAAGGTCACCATACTTGGCCACATGTCACGTCACTTTCACTTTTCACTTTAATTTAAAAATACAGCAATTCTATTGCTCTTTGTTTTAAAAAAGGTTATATAAAATGTCAATATTATCGATACCGAACAACATAAAACATTATATCATTGATACATTTTTTAGCTATATCGCCCAGCCCTACCAGCAACTGAAGTCAACCTCGTCTCCACCCAGGTGTATGTAGGCATCAGGGAAGACTGTGCTGATCTCTTTAAAAAACTGTGTCATGAAGTCATAAGAGGAGTTTAAGATGGGGTTCACCGTCCCAAATGTTCCTGAAGGACTAGAGCCACTGTAACAAGGTGTTAGTAGATCCTTTATGCCTAAGTGAGAGCGACAGAGAGAGAAAACATGTCACATTAATCAGTAACTGCAGTTTGAATGTGAACTGCTGAAACCAACAAAACATGACTTAAGGCTAGAATACACTACACGACGACTTTATATTTGTCTCCTAGCAATAAGGCACGTTTCTGTGTGAGTTTGTTGTGTGTTTGTTTCGACTAAATGTCATCAGTAGTGCATGACGCCTAGTATTTTAAAATCTGTTCAGATTTTAAAAGTTGTGCAGTGTATTCCAGCCTTAAATATGACTAAACAAAACAATCTATATAAAGCTGTCATGTAGCAAGTCCACCAACTGACCAGTACCCCATGACTCTGTGTGTCCTGGGGTGTCAAACTCAGGGATGACACGGATCCCCCTCATGCGAGCGAACTCGATGACCATCTTCACGTCGGATGGAGTGTACACATGCGTGAATGGGTGATAGGCTCCCTGTCAATCACAAAACAAATAGGAAAAACATGATCAATACACAATGATAAACACTTTCCCAGTTAGATTTCAGAAGTGGCAGTTGAGTTCTATGACCTAATTCTTTGGTTTAGAGGTGAAATTTCTACACTAAAGGAAATGACACAAGAACTGACATGTCCTACAGCACAGCAGTATCATCACTTTGTGGTAAAACTTTATCCCTTACCTTTCGCTTCCAATGTAGCAAATACAAAAGAATATATGAGAAAAAGGAACTATTTTTAAAAGCAAGCCTTTCAAAAACCTGCAATTTGTTGCAGTGTAATTATAGCTTGATACGCCTACTTGTGTTCTCCTGTTTACATGGCGTTGGCCATCACCCTTAGTGATAATATAATTCTAGCATGGTAATCCACTAACAACCTGTCTGAAATCTACAATATATTTCATGTTCTGAATAGCTTGAATCTAAAACAAAGTCAAGTGCATCACATACTCACCTTCTGACTTAACTCGGGGAAGGTACGGCTCATGTAAGGAAATGAATGATCATCCACAATGTGCCAGTGAAATACATTAAACTTGTTCATCGCCATAGCTTCCTGTCAAAATTAGACATTTTATTACTGAACGTTGTGGGATGAGAAGCATTTCAAAACCAACAACAACAAAAAAAAACCTTGGAAGGTCCTTGCACATATGTCCACTATTATGATCATGTGACTCGAGTTTAATTCTCGGTCAAAACTTTATATCACCACTGTTCACTGACTGCAATTTTTTCCAGACAAACCTTGTGATGAGCGTCATTTTGTCTTGTGATTACTGTCATCTACGAACATAACAAACTTGACTTTCCAGTCTCATAAGTAAAATAAGTTCCTTGAGCTATTTAGCTGACAAGTCTTCTAATAAGGAAACTGAGCATTAATTAAAAAAATAAATCAATTAATCATGGCCTATTTTCCAATATAAAAATGCCACTCTAGACCTATGCATGTGTTTTGGTAAAGCCTGTCGTTATAAAACAAATGATTTCAGCTCACCAAATTGGCCAAAATGACTTTGAGTGGCAGGAAGTGGCGATACGAGTCCAGGAGGATCCCCCGATGGGCAAACCGTGGGAAATCTGAGATGTCTGTCTTATTGATGTTGTTCTGTTGAGAAGAAAAAATATGTTTTGATTTTTAGAAGAGCTTAAATAGATACATTGATGGAATGTATTAACATTTAATTTAGTACAATCATTCAAAGTAAGAGTCTGTTTCAAACTTACGACTCCATAGTCATCCTCATAGACCAGCTGGCTGAATGTTTCCAGTCCTTACAACAATATGAGGATGTTACACATGAATGAAATCATGAGTTACGACAGCATGTTACAGTATATGGACATGATAAATACTGCAATCTCTTCTTTTAAGGCAGGATAACACAAAATCCAGCTTTGAAACAACAATCTACATTCTTAGGAAAGGACCGTTTCTATCTAACACAGTAAAAACAGTAACATTGTGAAATATTGTTCTAATTTAAAATAGCTGTTTTTATTTTCATATTTTTATTATTTTAAAATATATTACAATAGACTTTTGAATGGTAGTGTATGTTCAAAAGGGAAATATAAATGTGAGCTTGTTTGCTGCCTTTACTTTCGCTTACCTCGCAAAGCTCCCCATACATTAGCAGCTTTCAGCACAGCAGAGGGTTCATCAACGGACAGCTCATCTACACAAACAGAGCAAAACTTTACACAATTCACACACCACCAAAGAATTCACAGGCTCAACTCCACACAGTTTGAGTTTTATCTCAATACATCTGATTGAAGAAGCTAGAAGTGACTGACTTTCATAATGCAGTTTCTATGAAATATTAGGTAGAAAACTCTTTGCAAATTACTTTGCACGAGTCAAATGTTACTACATCTAAAAAGAGCTCTAGAACGACGTTAATACGTTAACCCGATTACACCTCCGCTCCGAGAGGCAGATGTCAATTATTGGATTTGCCGATCGTTCATTGGATTAGAGTTCATTGAAGTTACGGCGCTGCGGATCACAAAGGCGGAAGGGAAAAAGCTCACATGACTCGTCGGTTTGCAGACTCGGGAAACCGTCGCACTCCGGATCAGCTGATGTTACCCATACCTGAAGCTCCACGAGATCTGAATCATACACTTTCTTTCGGCTCTTCTCGGGCTTCTTCAGGTCACCAAATATGTATTCAAAATATCTGCAAAGCAAAGGTCAATTGAAGCCAAGTGGATTCTGTTTACTATATGACACGGAGCACACTGTACTTCCTGTTAAAGCTAAACGTTAGCCTCCTTTATAACACAATGCCGGCATACATATGAATAAGGGATTGTACGTTACAATTAGTACCTGCGAAACGCATTCTCGAGTATGCTGCAGCTCGGTCCGGCGGAGGACTGTTTCGCTTGGACGATCTGAAACCTGGTGGGGCTGAGTTTAAAAGCGACGGCGGACGACTGAAATTTCTGCGGTAGCGGCCAGAGAGAGATTTCATCCAGCACTTTCTGTTTTCCTACAAAGTCGCCGAAGAGCCACCCATTGGATACGGCTACCGCCAAAAACAGCGGCGCAAATTTGACCAGACAGTACATGGCTGTGTTGAGCTGCGGTCAGCTGACTTCTGCTTCAAGTCCGAACGGAGGAGTGTGGATGTGCTCTGAAGTCTGGGGCGGTGTTTACCTCAACTCAAGTCATGGGACCTACCGAGCCGCCACACCCCCTCAAAGTCTTAAGTGAATTGCACAGATTGTGATTACAAAACCTCATCCCTTTATCTGTTGATTTATCCCGAGGACAGTGAAGGTCAATCCCTAGATAACTTGCAAAACAAATGGCCTAGGTAACTAGTTAAAATTGATTTAGAGAGCTCTCTAATTGGCATTGTTACTAGTAAGCATTTAATTGTAGAGCTCTCTAATTTAATTGTTACTAGTAAAAATGCAATTACGACGAGTAACGCTGGGGATATTTTAAGCTAAAATGGCTTGCCACAGAGGTAGAGCTCTGTAATTACAAATGAATGGAAGTCAATGGAGACATATGACTAGTAAAAATTGATTTGTAGAGTTCTTTAATTGGAATTGTTACTAGTAAGAATTGAATTGGAGAGCTCTGTAATTGGAATTCTTACTAGTAATAACTGAATTAGAGAGCTCTCTAATTATAATTGTTACTAGTAAGAATTGATTTAGAGAGCTCTCTAACTGGCATTGTTACTGGTAAGAATTTAATTGTAGAGCTCAACAATTGAATTTTTACTAGTAACAATGCAATTACGATGAGTAACGCTGGGGATATTTTAAGCTAAAACGGCTTGCCATATTGATACTTATTATAGTCTGTTACTATGGTTACAAGTAATAGTCACAAATAGAATAGGGGCTTGACTTGGTTAAATGAAATTACTACTTTTATGTTAAATGAAATGATTACATTTAGTTATTTAATTCTACCCCAGGGTGCCGCGGCACCCCGGTTGGGAAACACTGGCCTAGGCGATATGAGCTGAACAATTGATTCAGGTTTCAACACAGTCTTACGATCATAACAGGGAGCAGACTGCATATATTTCAAACATATCACGTAATAAAACCATTAAAATAGCAAAAGCCATATTTCTGGAATACTAGGGGCGAGCGAGCGGGGTGAGTTGAGCCCGTTTTTATTTAACGTGTTTAAAGCGAGCACATGACAGGCCCTACATAAATTTCAGGATGTGGTGCATCCTTGGGAATAATCGCTTTAGGTCTAAAATAAACTGCTTTCAAAATATGACGTTCCAAACAAAAAAAAAAAAGTTCTCTTGGCCCAGCTTGCCCCCAGTGAGGGGTAAATTGAGCCTAAGGAGAGGGTAGGTTGAGCCACATGGAGTTAAACTGTGCCACTGATTATGCTGAAGTAAAACTGAACATTTTCACCTCATGCTATATCAAAGAAAGAAAAATTCAATAAAAAAATGACTTCTTAAAATCTATGTGTTTTCCTTGTGATGGACTGGCCGTTCATCCTGGGAGTTTCCTCACCTGTGGCTCAAGGTGACCTGATGCTGGGTTAGGATCCCACTCCCCACGACCGTAATAAGGACATATAGGTTTGGATAATAGAATGGATGGATGGCTGACTTAAAAGTTTTATTTAAAGATATAGTTCACAACTCTGAAGGCGTTTTTTTTTTAAATTACTTAAACATTTCAGAACAAAAAATTAAAATTTAAAAATTTAAAAAGAAAAATAAAAAAACAGACTGCAACTGACCTTACAGAAATGTGCTAAAAGTAGGCTACTCAACATCCGACTTATAAATGTTGCTGGGAAATACAATTTCATAAAACCTTCAATGGCCAATTTTCATAAACAAGGCCTATTTAAAATTGACTGAACAAAATCGAGTTCAAAACAAAGAACAAAATTATGTTTGGTGTAAAATTAATGAAATATAATGTAGTTACATTACAGTAAAATAATACTTTATAATCATAAGAAGGGGTCAAATCACCCTGCTCTCCCCTACTATGTAATATTGTATAATGTAATTATAATTGTAATTGTAATAGTAGCCTACTGTGTACTTAGTCCCCCTACTTTTTGCAAAGCATTATTTGTTGTTGTTGTTGTTGTGAAAAACTAGATATAATCGATGTACTATTTTCTAATGTGAAATTACAATAGAAAGAAAATGAGTAGCACAAAATCAGCACAAATAGTGTATAGGCTACTATTTAAAGCCCTGCAGGTGAAAACACCCATAAAATTAGAAACGCCTCATACCTCATACTCAAATTCAGTCATTCTATACTTTTTTAGACCACAAAAGGAGAAATTAAAATGTCTTGCTTGGTCTTGTTCGACAAAGAAAGAAAGGGCACATTACAGCAACACCAGGGTGAGGAAAGGACTGGATTTTAATATTTAAGTGAACTGCCCCTTTTTAAGAATTACGAGAAGAGCTGCACTGAACGCTGTAAATTATATCAAGCCTACCCAGAGCTGGGTTAGAAGCATCAGAAGGCTAAGTAGAGCGTATAGAACATTGGAGCCAATGATTTCTACAGTTAAATATCAAGTGTAGCATTAGTCCTGGCAGGTCACGTTAGTCAAGCTTGCATCAGCTGACTCTCAGCTGATCCCCATCTACCTATGGGAATACGACACCTATCTAAGCATTCATATATAAGGTCCCTCAGTATTATTAGCAGTTTTCGCATTGCTCAATAGCTAATTACCCTCCTCCATCCCCAACTCCTCCTCTGTCAGTCGGGATTCAGCCTTCTGATTCTCCTTTGAATCAGACTAATTCTAAAATGTGTACATAAAATTATTGAACTTTAACAATATCTGCAATACATTTATGTTGGTTCTGTTCTGTTTACCCTGGGGGTTATTGCTGCTCTCCCTGCTCTCCTCCATGCTAGGCTGCATGGAAGCGCAGGGAGTTCTTGCCCAGAACAGAACCATACCGCCAATCCAAACTGTATGCTAATTGTCAATCAACTTTGACGATAGTGGTCCTGACAGAAATGCTTTCGAGAAACGCAGACCAGTTACAGAGCTACTGACTGGTGTGTGTGTGCAGTTTTTTCTACGCTGGGGGTGGTTTTTTATGACCGTACGAACCCTAATGTGATGATCGGGTGCGGGTCGGGTGCGGTTATCTAAATCAGACAAAAATACAGGTGCGGGCGGTTGGCGGGTGGATCATTTATTTGAAGCTGCGGATTCGGGTGACGTTTTAGCTCATCCGCGCATCACTAGTGTGTGTGTGTGTGTGTGTGTGTGTGTGTGTGTGTATGTGTGTGTGGCGTCCGCTAGGTTGCGTTTACTTGTGTTCCATGCTAATACAAAGGACCATATCTCACAGACAGTGACATTAGACTATCAGTTTACATTTCAGAACATTAATTTTGCCATTAATTGAAATAATGGGTTAGATTTGTTGAGATTTTTGTATGCACACGGAGCCCGACAACAGACGGTATAGTCCACATACATTTTATAGCTCCACAGATTTAGAAAAGAAGCATACCAGGGCCACAATAGCAACATACTTTAGTGTACCACATTACTGCACAAGACCCCCAAAAAATCGTGACATTTTTATTCAAAATGAAGAAATTTAAATCAACTTCAAGGTCATTTACAGGAATGATGCAGAAAACTTTTGTACAGCAGGGGGCGACATTGTTCCGTGAATTCAAATTCAATACTAGCTCTGAACATTCTAACCAACGTGTGCATGGTAGTGCATCTCAACTAATGAGGAACGAAGTTTAGGCTGGACTCGAAGTACAGTTTATAGACTAAATTATTAAAATGACTTTCACTTGAATGCACAGCATTGCCACTGAAGTTGCTGTTGAGTAGGATGACTCTTAAAGCAGCGCTTCCTAAAAGGTCAGTCATATGCAAAGTATACAGTGTATACAGAGACTTTCAACACTTTCATACACACAAATCCCTTGGTGATATGCAGGCAGCCTAATAAAAGGCCCTTGTTATTACTCTATTAATGAGCCCCACCACAATCTCCTTATCTATTTTCACGCCAGTTCATCAGTCTATCTCCTCCCACATTCTCCTAAACAGCAGCAGCGCTCCGACTCTCTTTCCTCCTCCTCTAAAAGCTATTCACACCCGTCAGCTGTTCACTATTGCTACTGAGACCTGCACGCGCAGCGGCGGAGCTGCTGTATGACGATACGAGCGAATGTATTTGTGCACCGTAGTCACATAGATCGAGGAACTCGTGTAGTTTTCTGTGCAACTCAGCAAAAATAGAGTAAACTGTATTTCTAGGCTTGTTGCTTACGTTAAAAGCAAGTGGATTCAATTACTCTTCATTTGTTTATTTTGTGGTTTGTCCACGCGACATCGGACGCTGTTGCCACAGCGTCCAGCGCCGCCGGTATTGTGACTCTGTACGCGTCGCGTTGTGGCATGTGTGTGGGCCAAAGCAGAAGGAACTGAAGTCCTCATTGCTCCTGAACAGGTAATACCGGTCCATACGGTCTATGTTTTAATAAATGTAAATGCACGTTAGTTACCCCATGTTTTCTAGGACATATTTAATTGGATATTTCACATTAAAGCTATGTTTATATTCGAATTTAAAAATATTTGTAGACATTAAAAATAAGAATTATAATGCACATTTAAAGCAAAAAATAAAAATTGTTGTCATTTAATTTTTAATACAATTTTAATGATATAAATATTTATCAAACGAGTGATGTGTGCAAGTTATGTCAGTGCGCCTATGACATTGTCATGAGAATGTTGATCTGTCATAATTCAAAATTAGATTTCTGGAACATCTGTTGGCGTAGAAATAAATGGTGTTTGAAAAGCACTTTTTTTATAGAGCCTACTTGTTATAAGATATGATTGCAAATTGTCATTACACTCTTTGTTTATTTTTATTGTAAGCTATTAACTGATTGTTTATGATTTATGCATACAGTCATTTGCAGAACATTGCTATTTTTCAATGCTCTGTTGCAAAATAATTAATGGCCAATGTCAGCACAGGGTTTCTGGCTCATGTACTTCACAGCTGTGGCCAATTTAAATGGATTATTGGACTGTATCAGGTGTGATACATCACCATTGCTTCTGTGTCCTTAATGTATTTAGCCCGGTTCAGAACTACATTTTGACTCTGCACAACATTAGCGGAAACACAATTAAATTCTCCCCGGAGGGATGTT